ATGTTGATATATTGCGTCATACAGCTAATTCAATGGACCTATGACAAAAATTTCATCACAGGTTGAAAGAGCATCACACACACGCTTTCTGAAAAAAGGTATCAATTTCTCTTGCGTAATACAAAATAACTGAAAAACGGGAAACTTTGCAGTGCTATATAATATATTAGCCGCATTTTACAACATTTTGCAACGAAACATCGGAATATTACTAATTTTGTGATGCTTTGTCTAGACTTGTCTAGATCAAATTTTGTTCATCTGGGAATAGGTCCACTAAGGTTGTCCTTCCAAAAACGTAAACGTTAAACTCTGAGCAAGTAAAGTATGTTGGGTTATTGCTTATTTAGACTCATAAACTCTTAAATTTAACCCATTAAGCTCCAGTGCTCTCCCCTTGATGAGTAAAATTGTCTGGCGTTAGACAGAGTAAAATACTCTGGTGTTAGACAGAGTAATTAAAATACTAAAGTAGGGTGCATCAGGGTGTATCGCCACTCAATGGGTTAACTAGACAGATGGGCAGATAGGCCAGTTAACCCATTAAGCGCCAGTGCTCTCCCCTTGACGAGTAAAATTGTCTGGCGTTAGACAGAGTAAAATAGTAAAGTAGGGTGCATCGCCACTCAATGGGTTAATTGGCTTTGCAAGAATACCTAAGAGACATATATAGAAGATGCACAGTAGAAAACACAATTCCTACAAAGGCAATTCTCTAAGTTTAATTACGGGCCAAATATTTGAAAACCAACCCATCATCCCTTGCATGCTCAGAGTTTAAGGCTTAAAGGCCCGTTTACACGGGTGATTTTTGCTGCAATTTTCTCTTTTTGGAGGATGTGAAGGAGTAGATTACTTAATGACCTTGTTATGAAATTTCATAACCTGGTACATTTATAACTCATCCACTTCTTCACATCCATCAGAAGAAAATCGCAGCAAAAATCCCCGTGTAAACGGGCCTTAAGGTTTTGGAATAAGACAACCTTAATTGAATTAGCTGTATAGTTTATTATTATGTAAACAGCTTGTTATATTTATTATATTAATAAAATAATGTTATCAGATGAACAAATTTCATGTGCTACAATCTTGGACAAAACCCTTGAGACCATTTCAGCTAATATTACAAAGTTATTGAACATTGACAAAACAAACTTTGTCCCCCTCTCCCCCCAGTTCAATGTTGTGAACAACGCCGAAACAACTTTTGGTAATATACCATGATACAAGCTCAACATTGAGTTGGGGGAGCGGGGGTTTAAGAATGGCAACATGATTCAACATGGAGTTTATCATAAAAATACGCGAATTTTCTATGGGGGGAAAATAGTCTCAACCAGTTATGTCCAAGATTGTCTGAATATGGGAATTTTACAAGCATACCAATTGTTTGAGAGTTATGGTTAGAAAGGCAGATAAGTTAGTGTTGCGATGGAGGAAAAATTATTAAATATATGTTACACTGCAAGGACTGTAGGTAACCGAAATTTTTATCCATATTAGCAATCGTTCCAGGCGATGCAAAATCTATATTTATATTGTAAGTAAAGGGAAATTAATTAGGAGGACATAATACACGTCTGGATGAAAGTAAATTATTTATTGGATTTTTGGTAAACTTGATTTCTACCTTATTCCATATCATCATTGAAAGCTTCGTATAGTGAATGTAAAAACATATCCAACACTAAAAGTAACCGAATTGGTCAAACTTGATAACATGGTTTGCTCAGAAAACGCCTATTCACTCTAACGTGCGAACGTTCCCTGGTCCATTTGAACCAATTAGCTACTGCTATAGAACATAGCTACAGAGTTTAAAAGAAATGGAATCATGGACATGCTAAACGTTGTCTACACAGCTATTTTCATATAGGCAATCGGCACTTTTCACAGGTTATTATAGTATGGCGACCCCCCACGAGGAACAAAGAGTCGCCTGTACAATGTTCAAATTGGCCATAGTAAAGAAATACGAGTATATCGCCATGACTTTTGGAGCATAAACCTTTTATAATAATATATAAGAACATTTCAAACGATTAACGAAAAGATTTGATGTGATATTGACGGTAAACGGGGATAGCAGCAAGATATTATAGTAAATGATAGGTCTAGTCATTGTTTTAAATTGGAGTCGCCGTTTACCGTTCTAATGGCCTGTTTACCGTTCTTTTATCAAACCACGATAAAGATTATACTTGGTTAACCGTCATATAAAAAATTTCGGGTTAAATTATAAGTTTTAAAAGCAAGTTTGAGGCTGATAAACTAAAGAACAAATGACGTCATCTTATAAAAAATACCTATACACAGCAACACTTGAACGTGATATTTACATAATTGAATTAAATCCCAATGCATGTGTCTCGACCTCTATGCCCTAGTAACATGATATTACTCGCTTCTGGCAGTAGAAAACTATATATTTTAGATGAAACAACAAGAAAAATTCATGCTTATATTTTAGGATGTGACAAGTTCGAATAGGCATTATTTTGCTCGCTTTTCATGCAAACGAATATATATATTGCTCGAAAAACAAGAAGTAACGTGTATATCCGTCTTTCAGACTACTGGAGTGGAAGAAAATTAAAAAAGATTGAGTTATAATGCACAATTAAATGCAGTGTGCTTCAGACAATCTTGGACAAAACCCTTGAGACCATTTCAGCTAATATTGCAAAGTTATTGAACATTGACAAAACAAACTTTGTCCCCCCCCCTCCCCCCAACCCCCAGTTCAATGTTGTGAACAACGCCGAAACAACTTTGGTAATATACCATGATACAAACTCAACATTGAGTTGGGGGAGCGGGGGTTTAAGAATGGCAACATGATTCAACATGGAGTTTATCGTAAAAATACGCGAATTTTCTATGGGGGGAAAATAGTCTCAACCAGTTATGTCCAAGATTGTCTGAATATGGGAATTTTACAAGCATACCAATTGTTTGAGAGTTATGGTTAGAAAGGCAGATAAGTTAGTGTTGCGATGGAGGAAAAATTATTAAATATATGTTACACTGCAAGGACTGTAGGTAACCGAAATTTTTATCCATATTAGCAATCGTTCCAGGCCATGCAAAATCTATATTTATATTGTAGGTAAAGGGAAATTAATTAGGAGGACATAATACACGTCTGGATGAAAGTAAATTATTTATTGGATTTTTGGTAAACTTGATTTCTACCTTATTCCATATCATCATTGAAAGCTTCGTATAGTGAATGTAAAAAAATATCCAACACTAAAAGTAACCGAATTGGTCAAACTTGATAACATGGTTTGCTCAGAAAACGCCTATTCACTCTAACGTGCGAACGTTCCCTGGTCCATTTGAACCAATTAGCTACTGCTATAGAACATAGCTACAGAGTTTAAAAAGAAATGGAATTATGGACATGCTAAACGTTGTCTACACAGCTATTTTTATATAGGCAATCGGCACTTTTCACAGGTTATTATATTATGGCGACCCCCCACGAGGAACAAAGAGTCGCCTGTACAATGTTCAAATTGGCCATAGTAAAGAAATACGAGTATATCGCCATGACTTTTGGAGCATAAACCTTTTATAATAATATATAAGAACATTTCAAACGATTAACGAAAAGATTTGATGTGATATTGACGGTAAACGGGGATAGCAGCAAGATATTATAGTAAATGATAGGTCTAGTCATTGTTTTAAATTGGAGTCGCCGTTTACCGTTCTAATGGCCTGTTTACCGTTCTTTTATCAAACCACGATAAAGATTATACTTGGTTAACCGTCATATAAAAAATTTCGGGTTAAATTATAAGTTTTAAAAGCAAGTTTGAGGCTGATAAACTATAGAACAAATGACGTCATCTTATAAAAAATACCTATACACAGCAACACTTGAACGTGATATTTACATAATTGAATTAAATCCCAATGCATGTGTCTCGACCTCTATGCCCTAGTAACATGATATTACTCGCTTCTGGCAGTAGAAATCTATATATTTTAGATGAAACAACAAGAAAAATTCATGCGTTTCATGCGTATATTTTAGGATGTGACAAGTTCAAATAGGCATTATATTGCTCGCTAATTTCATGCAAACAAATATATATGTTGCTCGAAAAACAAGAAGTAACGTGTATATCCATCTTTCAGACTACTGGAGTGGAAGAAAAATAAAAAAGATTGAGTTATCAGGCACAATTAAATTCAGTGTTTTCAGACAATCTTGGACAAAACCGTTAAGACCATTCCAGCTAATATTACAAAGTTATTGAACATTGACAAGACAAACTTTGTCTCCCCCTCTCCCCCAGTTCAATGTTGTGAACAACGCCGAAACAACTTTTGGTAATATACCATGATACAAGCTCAACATTGAGTTGGGGGAGCGGGGGTTTAAGAATGGCAACATGATTCAACATGGAGTTTATCATAAAAATACGCGAATTTTCTATGGGGGGAAAATAGTCTCAACCAGTTATGTCCAAGATTGTAGGTGGTGATGTGCTGCATGTATGGTATACTAAAATATTTGTTTCAGAAACTATAGTTTTTCAACTAAACTAGCTACTATAGTTTTTTTAACTATAGTTTTTAGTCAAAACTATAGTTTTCATGTTTTTGTTCCAAAATACCATAGCTTTTTAAAACTATAGGTTTTGGCTTAAAAACTATAGTTTATTTTTGTTGCCCCAAAAAACAAAAACTGTGTGCTTTACAAACTGATATTTTAATTTCAATATTTATAATATATGCGCACTGTCAATAATTTGCTCATCTTTGCATTCAGCTTAGTGATAGAAATTCCTTACAATAATCCTATAGAGTACAGGAATTCCTTTAGGATTGTATATGAATTAATTTAGGAGTGTATAGAAATTCCTTTAGAATCAAAAAGGAATTCCTATACAATCCTAAAGGAATCCCTATAGAATCCTAAAGGAATTCCTATAGAATCCTAAAGGATTTTTTATGGAATCCTAAACGAATTCCTATAGAATACTAAAGGAATTCCTATAGAATCCTAAAGGAATTCCTATATTGTCCTAAAGGAATTCCTATAGTATCCTAAAGGAATTCCTATAGAATCCTATAGGAATTCTTTAGGATTCTATAAGAATTCTTTTGGATTCTATGGGAATTCCTTTAGGAAATCCTATCAAAATTCCTGTAAGAATTCCTATTGGAAAAGTCCGAAAATTCTATACAATATCCTATAGGAATTCCTAAAAGATTCCTATAGAAATTCTTAAAGGAATTCCTATAGGAATTTTTCGTAAGGGATATTATGTTGCTTTGTTCCTAAGAAAGCACGCTCTTAAGGAACGACGCAATATATCAATGTATTATGTTGCTTCGTGAAAGAAAGCACGCCATATATCAATATAATATGTTGTTGCTTTGTTCTTAAGGAACGACGCAATATATCAATATGTTATGTGGCTTTCATCCTAAGAAAGCACACAATATATCTGCTTCGTTCTTAAGGAAGGACGCAATATATCAATAAATTATGTGTGATATGTGGCTTTCTAAGGAAGCACGCAATATATCAATATAATATGTTGTTGCTTCGTTCTTAAGGAACGATGCAATATATCAATATATTATGTTGCTTTCTTCTAAGGAAGCACGCAATATATCAATATAATATGTTGTTGCTTCGTTCTTAAGGAACGATGCAATATATCAATATATTATGTTGCTTTCTTCCTAGAAAGCACGCAATATATCAATATAATATGTTGTTGCTTCGTTCTTAAGGAACGACGCAATATATATCAATATATTATGTTGCTTTGTTCCTAAGAAAGCACGCAATATATCAATATAATATGTTGTTGCTTCGTTCTTAAGGAACGACGCAATATATCAATATAATAATGTTGCTTCGTTCCAAAGAAAGCACGCCATATATCAATATAATATGTTGTTGCTTCGTTCTTAAGGAACGACGCAATAGCCTATATATCAATATATTATGTTACTTTCTTCCTAAGAAAGCACGCAATATATCAAAAATAAAATGTTGTTGCGTGTTGTATTCTTTGTTTGCAAAAGATCCAGTTTACAGTAATTGCCCAATAACTCAGGCAATGCAAAACAATTAGACTCTTGTCATGAGGCATGCCAGCTCATTTCCATATAAAATGAAAATGAAATGTAATAGGAGATACCACTGGAACTTGCAACTTGAACCAATATTAATTACAGGTACCTTTCAATGTAAACTCCCCCTTAGTCTTCTAACCAATATTGCATCACTACTAGAAATATCATTAATTAAGCTGCAATATTATTATGCACTGTAATTACATACAGAGCCTGATGCAAGTCTTGACCCACAACATTGTTTTATTTTTATAATTAGTACTGGTATCTAATCAAAATGTGCCAGGAGAAATGTCAATTTCACATAATTTAACAACAAGCTATATATAGTTACAATCACTAAATCTTATCTATAAATATTTAATTCTGTATAGCATTAACCAAAATATCAAAACAATACATTAAATATGGCATGAATATACTCGTGTTAGAAATAGTCGATCAAAGTTGCAACCATAAAGGCAGTTGTAAATAGGACACAAACGTTTAATAACATGTGTATCAGGTCTTCATTTTTCTTTGCCCGCCAGCTGTGAGAAAAATGAAGGTCTGGGCACAGGTTATAATCCCATGTAAACAGAGATGAAATTTGCCTCAGTAAAGCAAGCTGTCAAGTTTGGTATTGGGGCTGGTTTGCCTCCAGACAAGCAAACCTCTGTAAAGACTGCAAAATGTCAAACTATCTCACCCCCCCCCCTGCTGGTATAAACAACAGTATTAAATAGACACAAACTTTAATTATTATGTTAATACATACAAATCTGCATTAACTGTGGAGCCCATTTTCCACTTTATTAATATACACTTGTTGAACTGACCAATTAACTACAATGTAAAATATAGATAAATTCCACTTACTTTTATAGAGCCCTCAGATCGAGTTTCACAAAGTGTGCATCTCACAGTATAAATGACCAAAATATACTTCAATTCTTGTACTCAGTAGAAAGATTTATAGATTCATTCCAAGCATTGGCAATTAATTGACTGTAAATTATTTGTTCTCCATTTTCTCCGTCAATTTCGAGGGATATTTCTTCGCATTATTTGTCTCATTTGCATATAGTGTTTGCATATCCTTGCCGCCATGACTTGAATCGAATGCCTCGTTACGTCACAGTAGACTTTGATTTTGCACTGCATCAGTGAACACCCGTTCCGCACGTTATCAACAATATAGTATTGTAATTATCAACGGTTATCAGCAATAAGTTATTTTGTCACTGAAAAGAAAACCACAAGCATTGGACAAAAGTTTTAGTTATAAATCTAACTGTCTTAATATGGAGGAGGCGGGGTGATTTTTTGGGCAAACCCCACCAACTTTAGGGTTAGGGTTAGGCAGGGCCGTAGCTAGCATGTATAGTTGGGGGGGGGTGTACGCCAAAAATTTCCGAATGACGAAGAAAATTTCCGAATATTTCATGGCATACAAAGCCACGAAGGTGTTTGCTATCCGGAAAATGAAGATGCAATTTACAAACAAAAATACACATAGTTTACGCAAAGACATATTACAAAAGCATGCAGTGCCGTAGGAAGCTCTTTTTTATTGGGGGCTGGGAACGAGGCCGAAGGCCCGAGGAAATTTTTAAATTTAGATTCTCTAAAATGCCATTTCCTGGACTTTGAGGAAGTTTTGACAGAATTCTAATGGTCAGAAAACGGAGTTTTAGTATGACATTTGTGACGTTACTCTGAGTATGCATCCACAGCGGGCAAGCTGAAAAGTTTGCTTGGCCACGGTGGGAGTCGAACCCGCGGCCTTTGGGATCTTAGTTCAATGTCACAGAATAAAGATCAGTACCAGAAGGGCCACTCAGCGGTGCAACGTGTCGCCATTTTTCTATGCAAAAATATGCAGTTGACTGGCCAGAAGGCGGGGCCTTCAGCCAATACAGTGCGTTTATTGGCCAGAAAATGTAATCGACTGGCTAGGAATATGGCGGCCAGGGTGCCCTTTTGTGTGCCTTATTCTGTGCCAATGTTCTGCCAACTGAGCTACGTCTGTGGCTACGTGGTCAAGTCGGTTCGAGTTGTTAATAGAGTTTTAGTATGTCGAAATTTACAATTTGCTTAAAATTTAGCAGAACTAAATGGGCAAAGGCGTATTTAACTATATATTGCAGGAAAGAGTATAGGTAATATGATTCTTTGCGGTTTGTCATGGATAATGTAGCCGCTTAAAATTAATCAATAAACCTTTCCTCTTATGAGTGAAATTTTGATCTAGACAAGCCTAAACAAAAATTTCATCACAGCTTGAGGGAGCATCACAAAATTACTAACAGTGGCGGCGCCAGGCTTCCAAATTTGGGGGGGCATTTGAGGGGCAAACTCAAATTTGGGGGGGGCAAGGGGCCAAGGTCTCCCCCCAGGAAATTCGCCCCCCCCCCTCAAAACGTGGCGATATTCCTAGGAATATTGCCCCCGGGGGCGAATATCCTAGGAATATCGCCTCCCAGGGGGGTGGGGCGAATACCCTAGGAATATTGCCGCTCTTTAGGCCATAAGTCATACATTTTCCGATAACGACAGAACGCTTGTGTAGCATTTAGTCTCTCTTAGTGACTAATAATTTTTTTTGAGGGGGGGCAAAATGGGGGGGCAAAAAATAATTGGGGAGGGGGGGACATTCCCCCCCCCCCCCCCCCCCCC